AAAAAATTCAGTGCAAAAGAGAAACCCCGATAAAAAAGCCTAAAAACACGCTAAAAATACCCCCAAAACCCAAACCTCTGCTTGGAGAGTAGCCTCTACCAGGGTTCAGAGGTGGAGTAGAAATTGGCAAAATAGACAGAAAACATGCCAGGGGAGTAAAGAGAAGCAAATTTTAGTAGACCAATCCCCCCAGCATGTTATCTGACTGTGTCTATTTGGTCAATTTCTGCTCTTTCCATCCATCTCTGAAGTCTGGTATAGGCAAAGATTTTCTGTTACTAGTATTTCAGTGGAAAGAAGGTTGATACAGTTCCATATGCTGTTGGTCCAAAGAAAATACAATGAGAAATAAGCTACCATATATACCTAACCCCACAAAATTTACCAACTTTCACCAACATATTCACCAAGACCTGTTACAATGTACACTGTCCTTACATGGGAATGTACAAGAAGATCAATTGCTAATAATATTTCAGTTATAAAGTCATTTTAATTCAACAGACATCCTCAAAAATGTATAAGATCATATATATTGTTTTCCTTGAAAAAATATAACAATTTTTCATACATGTTAATTGCATAGATTTTTGCTAAGTGCCCTACTAATCACCAAAACATTTTACAAAATTGACTTTTATGACTGTCATAGTTACAAACCCTATTTTTTGTTCCATTACAGCAGCAAATATTCTTTTCTACTGTTGTCATACAAAATTATAAATTTGATGTAAATCTTCTTTCGTTTTTTGTTGTATTGCATCTTTTGCTTTTTAAAATTTTCTTCACAGTAGATAGTCTTGAGTATTATACCCAAATTGATCTAAGACCAAACTAGATACGGAAAATCATGATAAATGTTTGTGATGGTTTTGTCTTCGTGACAACTTCTCCACTGAAAAAATATTGTTTTGACAACATAAACATATACAATTCCTCCGGATCCATATCACTAACTGTAACTTCAGAACTGGTGAAATCCTTAAAACACCTTGAAAACTACTCTCCAAGCAGAGGTTTTGGTTTGGGGTTATTTTTAGCGTGTTTTTAGGCTTTTTTATCAGGGTTTCTCTTTTGCTCTGAATTTTTTTGGGGGTTTGGTGGGGAAAAAAATTTAGTGCAAAAGAGAAACCCCAATAAAAAAGCCTAAAAACACGCTAAAAATAACCCCAAACCAAAACCTCTGCTTGGAGAGTACTTGAAAGCTCCTAGATCCTATCCCCTATCATACCCTAATATAAAGTCCCCTCAAAAATAAAGGAATTTACAGTATACACTGCTCAGGAATGTGATCATTGCTGACATCATCAGAGTTGTTCTACAATTCTCCATGATCATGACTTGTTTGTTTGTTGTTTTCCCTGTGGGTCTGCTTGGGGGTTTCTGATTCAATGTGGAACATTTCATCCTCCTCCTGTGCTTGTTCCCATTGGATGCCTGCAGCAGTGGGGAAAATTGTATGTAACGTTAACATACACGACAATAATCTAGTATGCTTAGTACAAGTTTGATTGAAGTTTATTGAAAAAAAAAAGGAATTTGTGGGCTTGAGTCGACTAAATTTCATCAGATTTCTTATTTTACACTGTAACATTTTACAAAAACAAAACCCTATAACTTACATCATCATGTGGTACAGATTTATAGAAAGAACACAATTTAGTATAATCAATATCATGAAGTCAACATAAAAACATGTTTGTTGGACTGACTTCACTGTTTTAGTGTTTCAACTCACAAGACACAACCTACACTACAGTACTATAAATAAAAAGTACATTATTTTAAGTGCTGTTTGATGGCCGTGTGGTTAGTCGAGTGGACACGAGATCAAGAGGTCACAGGTTTGATAATGGCTAGACATTGTGTCCTTGGGAAAAGCAATTTACACGACTTTCCTTACTTCACCCTGGTGCAAAATGGGTGCATAGCCTGACTTTGGTCAGGGAGGTAAAAGGCGGTAGAATCCTCATAATGTATGTACAATATTTGACATGAATGATACATTGTTAAAACATTCTGTCCAAAGTCCTGATTAGTTCTCACCTGCTGGATCGTCCATCTGCCTTGGTGTGAACATGACCATGACTTGGTCCATACCTGCTGCCAGGTCTGCTTTGTTAGCGTACCCTTTGTTATCAGGGTCCAACACTTCAAACACCTGCAAAATGTGGCAGTGAATCGATCGTTCCTATACCAATCAACACTGCTGTATAACAAATCTCTCAAATGATTCCACCCGTAATTTGTAAATATGTAATACTATGTATACCTACAATGTATAATTTGAATGCTGCTATTATAAAATTGCAAATTTGTGAACAATATCAATGTAAAGAAATGGTTCTCTTAAGGTGTAATTCGATAATGTTTTTGTGTAAATTAGCGCTATTTAAGACATTATCGGAAAGCTGCCAAATGCTAATAAAGCTTTCTTATGTCAATAATTTCTTCAGGTTGGAAAGAGAGTGTATGAGAGGGTTCAAGTAGATACATGTAGTCATAATCATTGATCACAGACTAACCTCTTTAGCTATTTTCTCAGAACCCTGGAGACTGTCCTGGTACTTCTGAATAAAAGCTGACAGGTCGAGTCGATCAGCGTCTTTGTCATAAGCTGACATGATCACAGCTCTGGAAAATCATATTATAGAAATTAGGTAATTCTGCTCTGCACAATATTACAACTAATTTTTGGTCACAATTATAATAATTATGTATCTATCCCTGTTTGGCTATATGTATATATCAATCACAGTAATTTTCTATTTCATTTACTTACTACTGGTAACTGATCTTAATGAATACACCTCAGTCACAGCATTCACTCTTTAATAATTAGCTGTTGATTTCTTTTGCAATGAGTTAGCATTGACTGAATTCAATACATACAATTCTGCAATTCTAGATTACAAATACATGTAACATAAAATGTCCCAAAAGTTACAAAGCACAATTATTATATAATTGTTTGTATTAATAAAGAGATGTCATCAACATAGTCTAAAGTAAAGAAACTATTTCATGGGTACATCAATTCGTAACTAAGTCTTACTGTTGGTTAAATTTTTGTATATCAGAAATGTTATTGATAAAGAAAATCTTTGAAACAGAGATGGAAGCTGCACCCCTTATCATGCACAAAAATGGACTACCCCAGCTGTTGGCATGGCGACCATACCTGACGTCCTTGGGTGAGAAGTGTTTGTACTCGTACTGCTCGGTGTTGGCGGGGTCAGAGGACGTGACCCCTGCCACGGCCTTCAGCTCCGCCACGGTCAGCTGTCTCAGCCGGTCACAGGTCACCGATCCCGCTCCGGTGGGGTCCAGTATCATCATCACCTGCCGAATGGCAAAATTAAGCATGTCAGCAGAACGTACTGCGTCTGTGTGTGTGTGTGTGTGTGTGTGTGTGTGCGCGCGGGCATACATCTGTGTTTCTGCATGACCTGGTCAGGTTGTAATGAGAGAGAGAGAAAGTCATTAATGTGTTTTTAATTACATGACCTACTTGCACAATAAAGAAGCACTTGGTGAAAGACAAGAGGACACAGTCACCTAGTTTGAACAAGCCTTCTCTGGGCGGCTGGTTGTAGGATGGCCGGCAAAAGAACATGTTAAAAATTCTACAAAACAAAGGATCAAAACTCCTAGTATTACCCATCCGGAGGCCTGCACAGGAGGCTAACAGTCACCATCACACAAGATCAGATTCTGAATATTTTATGGAGGTCTTAGATCTCCAAATTCTTGTTTTAGCAAATTTAGGAGAATCTAGAATATTCACATGCAATGCCTCACCTGGTGTGAAATCTCCTCCAGAATGTCTACATCAGGAAAATCAATGTCTTCATCTTCTTCACTCTCCATTGTCCGCATCTGGAAATATACATAGACAGGAAACAATTTTATCTGCTATCCAAGCAGATCTGACGTTTAGAGCTTGGCTTATTTTTGGCATGATTTTAAGCGTTTTTTTCTCAGGCTTTTTTTGCACTGGAATTTTTTTATGCCAGGCAAAGACATCCAGTACAAAAAAAAGCCTATTATAAAAAGATGGCAAAAATAAGCCAATTCTTAGCCTAAACCTCTGCTGGAGAGTTAACATAATCATTGTTTCCAGTAGACTGTGAAGTCCATCATTAAAGATGTGGGTACCTGTGGGTACCTGGGTGTTGAAGTGATTAGGTTTATAGCACATTGAAGCTTTCGACTGCCGGCAGAGGTTGGGTTGTGTGAGAAAAAAAATTCCAGTGCAAAAGAGAAACCCCAATAAAAAAGCCTTAAAAACACGCCAAAAATAACCCCAAACCCAAACCTCTGCTTGGAAAGTATGGGTACCAAGGTGCGGACCTTTCCCTCAGACACTGTTTTCAATGATACTACATTTTGTATGTGATTAAGCATCATCTAGTAAATGTTAGAAAAGACTTTGCAGACCCATATTGATGAACATATAATAGTAAAATGTCATGTATGAAGTATTAACAAAGTACCAACCTCTATGAGTAGCTCCAAATACGTAGCGGCATCAAGTTTTCCATTCCCTGACTGTTCACACGCGTGCACTAGGGTTTCACTGTATGTGGACAAAATATGATTTCTCTCTGGAAATTTGGTCTTGACTGAATCATGATCATTGTCTTACATGGTTAAAAGGTGTATTGAAGATTTAAATCTAGCTTCTATCCAGAATTCTCTCCTCTCAAAATTGTGGCACAATAATTAAAACTAAAGAATTCAAAAGAGGAAAACAGGCTGAGATAATGACAAGATTGAATGAGAAGAATTTAGCAATGAAAACAGAAGACAGAATACTGTAAATCACTTCATATTTGTAGTAGCAAAATTTCACAGAAAAATGGACATGTTCACGGTTCACGTAGTGGCAGGTGCAGAAGAAAGAAAGTCAGCAAATCATTTTTTCACAGTAATGATAAATTTGTGGTACAGAAGCGAATGCAAAAACATGAACATACAATGTACTACTAGTATTACTAGAAGTATAAAACTTTTAATATGTACTAATATTCACACCTTATTAAAAGTACCGCAAAGATCAAATGATTTACAGTATTATAAACTTATAATAAGGAAGAGAAACTACAACTGACTTACTTGAGCTCAAAAGGATCTGTGTTTCCCATGGTCTGCGAGGCGACGCCATCATAGGTCCATACCATGTCAGCCTGGCTGAGAGGGGTGTACTCAGGCTCGACTGTGTCACAGCCGGTAGAGTCAAACTCCTTCAGCCGAGAGAACAGGACCGACACGGCCATGTTCTTAGTGCCGTACGACCTCACCTGGTGCAGGTAGCCTGAAGTACAGTTTACAATTATAATTATTTATTTTTTGTTTATTTGTTTAAAACCAACTATATCAATCCTGCTTACAAGGATCACTACATAGTTCACTTAACTTCAATAAAAAATCAGTATTTCATGAATGAATTTAAATATTTTTGGCTCAAATAAACTTACATTCAATTCGTAGAAAGAACACTAAAAAAATACAGCTGCATAACCTTTCTGATCAGTTTGTTTTGACTAATGTTTTACTTTTGTGATTTCTTAAAATGAATTATCGTATGTACATGTATTATAAGAAAGGTTTATTACAAATGAGGTCATAAAGTCATACTAGAGCTGCTGCTAAAAATGAATCAACTACTCTCCAAGCAGAACTCAACTTCTTAAACCCTTAGTACAAAGTACTAGTAGATTGCATTCAATTCTCAAGCTAACTGACATCTAGAATACCGCAGTCATCCCTCAGCAAGACATCTGGAGCTGCATACATGCATTTACATGCAGTTCCCATTTAGAACTTTTAGTCAGCCTGTCACTTCTTAAAACCATCTTAATAGTTTTCAACATAAAAAAAATGCATATCTAAATTGTACCTGAGTACATGACATTGTGTATCTCCACACTTACTGTATGGCAGCCACAGGCAGTCTCCTGCAGTTATGTTGGCGTACCACCAGGGGACCTTTGCGAAGTCCGGGTACCGCTGCAGGTTCACGTGGTCCACGTTAATCAGCGAAAACCCTCCGTACTCTCCAGAAGCTTCCTCCGCTATCGGGACGTTGACCTATGCATGATGTACAAAATGACTAACCAGTTACCATGGCAACTGACAGAACATTGGTTCAGGTCATAGGTCACTGTTTGGAGAAGAAGAAGAAGAGGAGGAAGAAGAAACCGAGCAAAAACAATATGTTTTCTTTTGGTAAACATAATAAACTGGTGGACGTCCCAATTACTTTTAATTATATATATAACGTTGTACCTAATACCAGCCCAGAAGAGAACAAGAAATAGCCACGCCTTCTAGTACCAGAGTTATCAACCAAGGATTGAGGTGTTCAAGAATTCATTCTTTCCTAGAACTATTGCAAAGTGGAACTCGCTGTCACCAAGTACAGAAGGGGCATTGTCATTATATATAGATACCTTTAAACAGTGCCTAGAGTTAGATATTCAAGGGTTAGGTGTAACAAGTCGATCGGTGTAATGTAGCCAGCTGCCCGCCGCGCTGGGTGCCTGCAAAGCTGGTGTGTTACACCGAAGGGCGGTTATACCGGCTATACAGATACAGAAGCTGGTGTGTTACACTGAAGGGCAGTTACACCGGCTATACAGATACAGAAGCTGGTGTGTTACGCCGGAAGGTGGTTATACTGGCTATACAGATACAGAAGCTAGTGTGTTACGGGGAAAGGCGGTTATACTTGCTATACAGATACAGAAACTGGTGTGTTACGCCGAAAGGCAGTTAAACTGGCTATACAGATACAGAAGCTGGTGTGTTATGCAGAAAGGCAGTTATACCGGCTATACAGATACAGAAGCTAGTGTGTTACACCAAAGGGTGGTTATACCGGCTATACAGATACAGAAGCTAGTGTGTTACACCGAAGGACGGTTATACTGGCTATACAGATACAGAAGCTGAATCAGATGTGTTACGCCGAAGGACGGTTATACCGGCTAAAAAGGCGGCTATACAGATACAGAAGCTGGTGTGTTACGCCGAAGGACGGTTATACCGGCTAAAAAGGTGGCTATACAGATACAGAAGCTGGTGTGTTACGCCGAAAGGCGGTTATACCGGCTATACAGATACAGAAGCTGGTGTGTTACGCTGAAAGGCGGTTATACCGGCTATACAGATACAGAAGCTGGTGTGTTACGCCGAAGGGCGGTTATACCGGCTGTACAGATGCAGATACAGACCTCATGTTCTGGATCGATGAGAATCCAGTCCTTTGTTCCGTTGAGGAGACAGTTGAAGGCGTTGTCTGCGTCCTTGTGCAGGAGGCTCTTTGTTCCCCCCGAGCTCAGCCACAGGTTTGCCTCCAGAACCCTGTTCTTAAAGGACCCACAGCGAACGCACGGTAACACAAGCACCTCCTTAGACATCGGGTCGGGTAGCTGTGACACGATGTACTTATCCTGGTTCTTGTATGTCTTAAGAAAGTTTCTGATGGTGTCTTGGGCGAGACCCTTCTCCCCAACGGGATACTTGTCCTTCTCGGCTTTGGCCTCTAACTTGACCTAGAAAAGAAGAACAGAAATAGCGCTATTCCGCACATGACAAGACTGATAAACTAGTGATGCATACCGGTTCACTGGACTTGGATCCGGACTTGTAAGAATGTTTAGGTTCAAGTCTAAAAAAACCTAAAAGTCAAGAACCGAGTCCGGACTTATTCCGGACTTATTACCATAAAAGACCATTTCACATACCCCTTTTTCTTTCCAAACCACCTAAAACCTTCCGTATATTGCAAAATCTTTGCTGCAAAATGAAGAAAACATTGCCATCAGGCATCGTCAAGTACCGGCCTCCATGTTATGTGGCCAAAGTTTCACCCAGAAAACATTGCAAGGTTTCCAACATGCAATTTTGTATATGCCATGAGTTTAGGTCTGAACTTACAAGTCTGGAACTGAACCTAAACATCTGGACTTGAATCCGGACCTGAACCTAAAATTTGGGTTTAGGTACTGTAAATGCATTTTTATTCGAGGGGGATTTAGCTTCGCGATTTTCGCGAAGAGCCTTGCTTCGTGAAGTCATGTCCCTCGCGAACAGTTCACCGTATAATACACTCCTTCCGTCTTCCATGTTTCCACCGGACGTTATACCCAAGGGGGTAAATTATGAACGCTACAGAGCCAAGTAGAACTATCGTCTCAGCAGGAACACAAATAAAAGTAGACCAGCTCTTCTTCAAGAAATAAAATATTTATGTGTTATTGTTGAGTATCAGAATTATTTACTAGTATTTACTATAATCCTGTGTCAGGCCGTGTCAACTGCGTACAAAGATCTTAGCGTGCACGGCGCGGGGCCGCTTGCGACAGGAATACGGCTAAAATGCGGGTACATCCACAAATATTTTTATCAAAAACATAATTGCTGGGATCTGAAATGTTACTGGGTTCTCCTTAGCGGGAGTTGTTTATCGTTTTGACTGGAAAACGCAGGGTAAAAACGCTAAAAAATTTAGCGTGGGTACGACAAACCCACGCCGAGGTCCGTATACTTCCGGTTTTACGTGCACGCTAATCATGCCGAAAACGCCAAAAATCCGCATAGAGATGTATATTTCCCGAAAGATTCTTAGAACTGTGCATTTATTAACTAGAAGATCGGTGTATGGTCGTGGAAAATAGCGTTTTAGCGCTTATATCCAAACAAAGAAAATGTGTTTACATGGCGTCGGCCCGCTTGTATGTTACCGCCGCGGCGCTGCTCCAGCTGGTGCACAACCAACCAGAGACGCGAAATGCGGACACGTGACGCGGGATTTGCATACCGTCAACAACAACAGCTAGCTGAACAGGCCGCGTGCGGTGCATGAAACTAATTTTTTGTGTCAAATCAGCGCCGTATTTCAAGAGATAAATGCCGGGAAACAAAGTTTTCTTGTTTTTGAAAATATATTTTACGAGTTCATCTTTGAATATCCGAGTGAAAATCAAACAGTTCGATGCCTGGTCCTTCGGTACGATACAAATCCATGCATATGATTCCTGCGCGAGCCATCAGTTCTGTGTGAATTTTTAAACTGCAACTAACGAAATATTGACCCCAAATCACCGTAGCGTTTTCCTAAAAATTCCATAGCCGGCGATTTTGCGTGACTAAAGAAAAATATTGCCGGGCAAACCCATGATGAAAAAGGGGGTGCGCGGAAAATCACTGGTTATCCGGCGATTATCAAAAGTCGGCATTCCCTTTTTGTATTTGGTTCTGCTGTATAGCGAACTAAAATCCCTCGCGAACTCTCTATTTGCTCCGTTGCGCGAAATTTAGTCC